ATCGCTTCATGTACCGGACCAAAACCTTTATTCTGCTTTTTTTCCCCTTTGGTTGACATGAAGTTTAATTCTCTTATTTTGCCAAAAATAAAAGAAGAGATTCATGTAAGAGCGTATTTGTAACTACAAGTATTCATGTTCATAAAACCAGTTTGTTGCTTCTTAAAACGGTGTGTGGTGGTATTTTTGTGACAAGCGTGGTTCTGACACGCACATGCGGCTGTGTGGAGCATTTCAAACAGCAGGGGGCGTGAGGCATCCAGTTTTCTTCTCTGACCTCATGCGCAAGGTTACTTTTGGATGCATGTTGCATAACTACATACATACTGCATAAGCGTGCAGCACAAATATAGAAGCCCTTTAGAGCCGCTAGAATGACCACAATGGGACCCCTTTGCAATATTTATTGGAATATTAAATCCAGTGTGAATCCAAATCTACATCATGCCCACTAAGTAAGCTCTGCTACATTCCTTTTTTGGGGGGGGGGTGACTGCACGCAGAGGCAGACGAGAGTGGGGAGAAATGGTCCATCTATCGAATTATATCGGCTTAATCGGGACTCAGTAGCAGGAATATAAATCACTGTGTTCCCTAAGGTTTTATGAGGTACTGTGATCCTTGATTTTCTTTACAGTCATGCGACCTTCTGCAGTGTTAATCAGTATGCCCCCCCCCCCCTGTCCTGAATGCACAGTGCTGCAAACATGCGTCAGTGTGTTCACATTTCAGCAGAAAGGGGGATTTTTAAGGACGGACTCGTGGAAGCGCCAAGACTGAAATCCTAGCTTTGGAAGGGATGCTGCCTTCAGGTGCTGTGGGAGATATTGAACGTTAGTTGAGTGCGCATGAAGGCGTTAACGTTTTGTTTATAGGAACACACAAAAACTGAATGGAGAAACAGGAAAAAACAAAACATCACTTAATCAATTTGTAAGTCAGCTGTAACAGGGGGACCAAGGGAGGGGTGTCAAACATAAGGCCCAGGGACCATAATTGGCCCGCTAGAGACTACAGTGGGGCCCACTATACATCACTGAAAAATGTGAAGGAGGACATAGCTTTTGGACTTTAACTGTACTTTAACAAGTTTCACAGTTTTTCCCACTGATAAAGATCTCCCCCGTGACTATTTCAATTACACCAACGTAATAAATTACATGACAGAAACCTTCCTGGTTTTTTTTGTTTTGTTTTGTTGTTTTATAAAGAGTCAACAGTAGTAGTAAACTGGAAAAACTTGTGTGGTTTAACAAAATCTCTCTGTTTTAAAATCGCTGGACAGAACTACTGCAACTTTTAAAATGACTTTTTCTGTCACTTTTTTTTTTTTTTTGAGTAAGCGTTTGCTGTTATGGAGAAAAACTGAGATGTACTGATACTAGAACTAAGACATCTTAGGGATGAAAAGTGCAGTTAAACGTCTTTCAGTGAGTTTCACTGCTCCAAGAGTTTGACATCCCTGATCTAAAGTGTCATAAGACATTCTTAAGAAAGGGGAACTGGGAGAAAAGGCTGAGATGTGCCAAATTACACACTAAAAAAACCCCTAAAAATCAGTTTTATAGAGTAATGAACTTTGTTTTGGGTCAAATCATTGTCAGAAAGTATAGAGGAGGTTAGGACAGAGCTACAACAGTGAGTGTCTACAGCCATCTGTAAACACACTGCTGTCATGGTTTGGGTCTGTGTTTCTGAAAGCAGGGTCAGATTTTGTTCGTTACACTAAAACAGTACAAACTGTGTTTTTGCTTTGTGTACTTTATTTCCATTTATTTGTGTACATTCAAATAAGTCGTTGCACTTTTCCCTCTTTTTCTTGGCAAAAATAATAATAATTTAATACAGGGAGTGCAGAATTATTAGGCAAATGAGTATTTTGTCCACATCATCCTCTTCATGCATGTTGTCTTACTCCAAGCTGGAAAGGCTCGAAAGCCTACTACCAATTAAGCATATTAGGTGATGTGCATCTCTGTAATGAGAAGGGGTGTGGTCTAATGACATCAACACCCTATATCAGGTGTGCATAATTATTAGGCAACGTCCTTTCCTTTGGCAAAATGGGTCAAAAGAAGGACTTGACAGGCTCAGAAAAGTCAAAAATAGTGAGATATCTTGCAGAGGGATGCAGCAGTCTCAAAATTGCAAAGCTTCTGAAGCGTGATCATCGAACAATCAAGCGTTTCATTCAAAATAGTCAACAGGGTCGCAAGAAGCGTGTGGAAAAACCAAGGCGCAAAATAACTGCCCATGAACTGAGAAAAGTCAAGCGTGCAGCTGCCAAGATGCCACTTGCCACCAGTTTGGCCATATTTCAGAGCTGCAACATCACTGGAGTGCCCAAAAGCACAAGGTGTGCAATACTCAGAGACATGGCCAAGGTAAGAAAGGCTGAAAGACGACCACCACTGAACAAGACACACAAGCTGAAACGTCAAGACTGGGCCAAGAAATATCTCAAGACTGGTTTTTCTAAGGTTTTATGGACTGATGAAATGAGAGTGAGTCTTGATGGGCCAGATGGATGGGCCCGTGGCTGGATTGGTAAAGGGCAGAGAGCTCCAGTCCGACTCAGACGCCAGCAAGGTGGAGGTGGAGTACTGGTTTGGGCTGGTATCATCAAAGATGAGCTTGTGGGGCCTTTTCGGGTTGAGGATGGAGTCAAGCTCAACTCCCAGTCCTACTGCCAGTTTCTGGAAGACACCTTCTTCAAGCAGTGGTACAGGAAGAAGTCTGCATCCTTCAAGAAAAACATGATTTTCATGCAGGACAATGCTCCATCACACGCGTCCAAGTACTCCACAGCGTGGCTGGCAAGAAAGGGTATAAAAGAAGAAAAACTAATGACATGGCCTCCTTGTTCACCTGATCTGAACCCCATTGAGAACCTGTGGTCCATCATCAAATGTGAGATTTACAAGGAGGGAAAACAGTACACCTCTCTGAACAGTGTCTGGGAGGCTGTGGTTGCTGCTGCACGCAATGTTGATGGTGAACAGATCAAAACACTGACAGAATCCATGGATGGCAGGCTTTTGAGTGTCCTTGCAAAGAAAGGTGGCTATATTGGTCACTGATTTGTTTTTGTTTTGTTTTTGAATGTCAGAAATGTATATTTGTGAATGTGGAGATGTTATATTGGTTTCACTGGTAAAAATAAATAATTGAAATGGGTATATATTTGTTTTTTGTTAAGTTGCCTAATAATTATGCACAGTAATAGTCACCTGCACACACAGATATCCCCCTAAAATAGCTAAAACTAAAAACAAACTAAAAACTACTTCCAAAAACATTCAGCTTTGATATTAATGAGTTTTTTGGGTTCATTGAGAACATGGTTGTTGTTCAATAATAAAATTACTCCTCAAAAATACAACTTGCCTAATAATTCTGCACTCCCTGTAGTGATTCGGAAATTGCACCTTTTTTTTAAACCAGCACTCAGATGGTTGGTGATTTTAGTTGAGCATGAAGTGCTGAGTGTTGTTACATCATTTTGTTCTCAATGATGACCTCTGTATTGGTAAAGATTTTCAATTTGAATGTTTTACTGTTTAATTTAAGTGTTTCCTTCATTTTTTGAGCAGCATATATAAAGAAATAGCTCCAAGTCCTAATGGCCAATGAATCGTCCATTCATAAAACAGCCTTGTTAATAAGAACAGTTGGAGAGAATTATAATATTTATTGTGCGTTACAGTTTGGTTTCCTCTGTACTTAAATGAAGCACCATTTACAAAGGACCCAGTAAGTCTGAAAGTTTGGCTGAAGCCTACTTAAGTCTTTAATTGCACAAGAATTAGCAACTGTATTATTGAAGGGAAGAATGGCCCTTCAATGGCCCCCAATCTTGATGAAACTGCAGCTGTTTTAAGAAGATTGTGCTGCTTAAGTCAAATGTCGACATGTTAGACCGGTCATGTTATCTGATCTGGAGCCAACGTCTTGTTTTTTATCTTTGTGCTGACATGGTGTGTTCTTAAAAAACAAATGTGTTTCACAAACGTGACGCAACCAAGCACAAAAACCAGGCCCCCGGGGCGGAGGAGGCCTAGATGACTTCAGTTTGTTTACACTGGGCAAAAAACCACTTAACATAAAAGTTATAAACTGCATGTGATTGAGTGAAATAATTAGTTATTCAACTGAGTAAAACCAAGTAAAACATGAGGTAGGTCTTGGTGGAGAAACCCTTGTTGGTAAGCACAGCAGTAAGTCATTTCCTGATTTGCACAGAGCTCAGTATTTTGGCCCACTCGTCTTTTTACAGAAACTCTAAGTCCTTCTGGTTTTGTGGCTGACGCTTGGCAACTTGAACGTTGAGATTCCTCCACAGATTCTCTGTAGGACTGAGATGTGGCGACTGGCTTGGTTACTCTATGAACTTAATGTTCTTCTTCTTTAACTGCTCCTTTGTTCTCTTTACTCATCCAACATTTTACAGCACACGGCTCTGTCCATTTGACCCTCAGTGTGGGGAAGTCGTCCTCTACCCTTAGCAGAAAAACAGCCCAGACCATAATGTTTCCACCTCCGTGCTTGAATGTTCTTTGCTTCACACTCAGCATTTTTCTTCCTCCAAACATCTCAGGTTGAGTTGATACCAAAGAGCTGACCACAGCACCTTCTCCCAGGCCTTCTCTGAATCATTTATATGTTTGTTGGCAAATTTAAGATGGGGCTGTACACATGCCTTCTTGACCATGCATTTTGAGATAAGTGTCAACCATAGAATTAATTTGTGATATACATGTTAATAATTAGAGCTATCTATTCTATTATTATCTATTAGAACTATTTGGTTATATTTGATAACTTTGTAATATATTTTATTATTTAATTTAGGTTAGTTATTCTTCTTACTGCTTGGAGCAACTGTTACCTCACGGATTAATAAAGTATTCTGATTCTGAAGGTTCTCGCTGATGGTCTTGCAGGTCTACAGTCTTGCCCCTAATGTCCTTTGACAGCTCTTTGGTCTGTCCCGAGAGAGTCCTTAAATCGGGCTCTAGCTCACTTAGGGGGCTTGGTGGTGGTGTGTGAGAGGGGGAAGAGGTGGAGCTCTGCTATCAGAGCTGTGATGAAGTCCTTGAACGCATCGCGATCAAAAGTACCAGCAGAGCGCTGAGTGACAGTCCTGCTCCACGGTAGCTGCTCCGCGCCAGAGAAACCAGAGCAGAGCCGAGCGAGGCAGGGGTGGGGGGACACGCACAGAGACCGCGTGCAGCAGGATGGGCTCCGCGCACTGCGATGTGCAGTAATTGGGATTAAACCTACCGGACGGTGCTTGGAAACACTCACAGCAGCAGCAGTAGTAATAGTAGTAGTAGTAGTAGTGGAGAGCAGGGGGAGCTCCGCCGCATGTGCTCCTCTGTGTGCGCCTGAAAGAACTTGTTTTGCTCCGTGCGCTGGGCAAAAATCGACCCCCTCCTCCTCCAGAGAAAGAAGCGACTCGGCGGTCATAAACAAACACGGGTTCAGATTTAAGCTCCGGGACTCGCAGTTGCAGCAACCCCAAACCGACCTCTGACTCTCCTCTCACATGCCAGCGCCGGTGTGGGGGAGAGAGGCAGAGGAGAGGAGCCGGGGGATGTTTGGATCAGCTCGCTGAACTCGCACAAACACCGACGAGGAAAACAAGAAGAAGTCGCGCTGGTTTTTCACGTGGGGGTTTAAAATAAAGAGAGAGAGGAGGAGAGAGCTCGGGGGGTGTCATGGAGAGCCAAGCGGGCGAGCAGTACAGCCACGAGGACGTGCGGAAGAGCGGCTACCTCCGCAAGCACAAGTCCATGCACCGGCGGTACTTCGTGCTCCGCGGCGCCTCGGAGCGCGGTCCGGCCCGCCTGGAGTACTACGAGAGCGAGAAGAAATTCCGGGGCAAGGCCCCCGTCCCGAAGAAAGTGGTGGCGCTGGAGACCTGCTTCAACATTAACAAGCGGGCCGACTCCAAGAACAAGCATATGATCGTGCTGTACACCCGGGCAGAGAGCTTCGCCGTGGCCGCGGAGAACGAGGCGGACCAGGACGAGTGGTACCAGGCCATGGTGGAGCTGCAGTGCAGGAGTAAGAGAAGCACATTTGCACACAAACACGCACACATGCACGCTTTCCTGCATGTACACACACACACACACACACCCACACAAATATATGTGTGTGCGTATATATGTATATGTATACGCACACACACACACTGGTGTGTTTGGGGCTTTGCACGAGAGGAGAAACGTGGCAATGCGTGCAGAGCAGCGCGAAAGGAGCGCACTGTGGACCGGGACGTGTTTTATTACACAGTTTAAGGATTCTTCCCAAGCCCTCACAGACTGCAGTGTCAAGACGACACAGTTGTCCTTTCATTGCTCGTTTCAGGCCGGTTGAGGTTCATGTGTGCACCTTTTAAAGCCTCTGACCGTGGTTTGCGTAAACGTGCGCCTCTGAGCCGCGCGGTGGGGTTTGTATCCTCCAGCACTTCTTACCACGCTGGTGTCAGGCTAAGAGTTTGTTCCTTGTTGTCCAGCACACTTCTTTCGGGAGGGGGAGGGTGTCAATGAGTAGGCCTCAGCTGAGTACGAGTTTGGCCTCCCTGTCCCGAGTTTACTGCTCAAACACACCCTGCCCTCTTGTTTACTCTGCTCTGCTTTTCTGCTGACACTGCTCTGTATTACATCAGGCATTGATCTCAGAGCAGGAGGAACACGTCCCCAAAAACCTGTCGGAGAGAGAAGTGCATTAGTATCCGACTGCTAAGTCATTAAACTTTGAAATCCATCTTCTGATTTGATGGGTAACGAGTGAGCAGCCCTGATGTGTCCCATCCAGCTGCAGTAGGTTTGTCCCAAATGGCCTCAAGTACCCCAGGGGGTGAAAAAAAACAGTAATCCCTGTGGGTTTTTCTCAAGTCTTGTCTATCAGCTGCTGTGTAAACACAGCTGTTACAGCTACAGCGGTGAGCACAGCAACTCCAGATCACCTGTTCAGCTTCCCTGGCTCTGAGAGAGCAGATAGGCAACCAGGGACATATGACGCAATCGTGGATGATAAGAGTTCAAGGTGCTTCTCCTTGCACAGGACCTGCTGCTGGGTAACACAAATCAGCTGATTAATGTAGGGGCTGGGGGAGAGCACAGAAATAAATGAGGACAAACTTTGTGATAGTCCACTTTTTATTTGGAGCCAGAGGAGTTTTATAATGTCAAATATCTGCAGGTGTAAGCCGCTGCTTATTACGGGGAAAGTGACTGGACGTGCACTCCTCCTGTCTAGCATCTAACATTTAATCCAATCTACAGGTGCTCGCGTGGTCACATGTACAGAAAATCCCATTTCATGGCCGTCCTCTAAGAAATCCAAAGTGTCCCGACGAGCCTCTGGCTCGAGCATCATCACGAACAGCCTTTCAAATGACTGATCCCTCGGTGGCTGCTTGTCTCCTTCCTTTGTTTTCCCAGAGTGCTGGGTTTCTTGTGTAAAGTAAAGGCTGCGGCTGGCTGCAGAGTAAACTCCAACGCTCTTGTGGTATGTGCTGCAGCCTATACACAGTTTCTACTCTTCTAGAAAAAAAATGAGGCCACACACGCGCGCCCGCGCACGTGCACACGTGCACATATGCATGCATGATCCAGGCGTTTACTGAGATGTTGCTGCATGCAACTCTGTAAGGATTCTCGGGCTGCTTTGGTATGTGCACCCCATGCACAGTTTCAAATCTCGCTCGCGCCTCCATGCTCTACAGCCTCGCCTACCCACAGTGACCCCCCCAGGCTGGGATTATTCTCCCAGCCTGGAGAAAAGTTGAAGCTGAAGCTGAGCCAAAAGATGCTGCACTATCTGCCTCACTAGTTTCCACAGAACCACGCCCTCGGTGTGATACCTGTGTAGTTCCACATATCCCCTCTGCAAAGCAGCCGGCTGCAAAGGCTGGAGTTTGCAGCGTGCGTGCAGTGAAAGCACGAATAAAACCGCGGATGTCCTTGCTGTTGTACAGTTTCTGCTTCCTCTCCAGGCCTGGGAAAACTACCTAAAGCCGTCCAGGAACAGTTCAATATTGCGCACATGGCTGGTGGTAATTAAACACAAGCCAGCTGCCACGCTGGGCAGGATCCCACTTATTTATTCAGCTGATTCCAGTAAGACCCTTTCAGGCAGCGCGTACAGTATTAGGCTTCAGGGCAGCTATTTGCCCAACTATTAGGAGGCAGTCGAGTGTGTAAAGGTTTAACCTCGATGAAACGGAGCGGAGGCGCGACCCTCAGTCGCCGTGCGCCGGGCAGAACGTGGCACCTTGGGAGCTGTAGTCGGCCTCGGTAAACACTATGATAAAGTCCAAGATTCGTAGCGATCAGCACCGAACAAGAGAGACACACCATCTACAAGCACACACACACACACGTTTAAATGTGCCAACATAAACAGATATTAAAGCAGACTGACTGACAGTCTCTGATTTAGTCCTGATTCTGAAACGCAGAAGATCAGTCGGAAACATTCGGAGCAGGGAGGATCTGTTCCTGCCTGCAGCATCCGCAGAGAAGCAGTTTGCTTATTTATGTTTCATATGAGACTAAATGTGTTTGATGGGCCCTTTGGCCATTTGATAGACTTCACTTTATGTCTGTGGAGGACAGAAACTGCCAATGTATCGGATCAAAAAGTGCATATTTAAAAAAAATTAAATAAACATATGATATAAATGAATTAAAAAGAAATAGCAGCATAAATAAACCCTGAAAATGAATAACAAATAAAATAATTGGATGATTATTACAAAGATAAATTAATATAAGGAGAAAAAAAGTGTCACACTGTATTAACTAATGAATAATATTCATTTTGACTATTAGTTGAGTATTTAACGGCAAAATATGTCAAATCATTTTTTTAATGACTCAATAAATGAGTCATTTAAATAATTTACTTAATCACTTTTGATCTTTTTGGTCCCCGTATTATAAGTTCTGGTTGTCTTTTATTCTGTGTTTTCTCTTATTAACCATTTATTTTTGAACTCAGTCCAAGAATTCAGCAGGTGTTTCCTACTTTCTGTAAGTCACGCTGTAGGTGTGAGGAGAACTTGTGTTTTTGAGTGAACCGTCCTTTGTGACGTCCCTCTGAGTCGGAATTAGAAGTCAAATCTCCCCGTCAGGCTGTTTTTATCTCGGAGTGTCGTTCAGCTACCCCGGCCTCAGAGATCTGGATCTCGCCGCTGGTTCGCTGAGCCGACCGATTAAATGTTAAGCCGTGCTTAAACACTGCTCATCTCCCTAATTAGGTGGTAATTATTGTCTCGAGGGTTGGCCGACGTTTGCACAGTAGAGGCTGTGTGCTAATTGAACTTTTTTCCAAGTGCCACCATGTCCGTCTCCTTCTTTTCTTAAAAACCCTCAAAACAAAACACATTTTTCCTGCAGAAGTGAAGCTTAACTACAGCTCTCTGTTAGAACCTCAGCCCCGGTTGGAGCGTGCTGAGCTGCCACAGAGTATTTCTCCTGCGTAACGACTAGATGCACAGTAACCCTTTGTAACTTCTTTAACTCGGTGAGCTGCAGCCTGACCGGATCTGGTTTGTAGCGATGCTGCAGCTTGTAAAACGTCATGGATGTGAGTCAGAGTCGGCCTTGAGCAATCTGCTTTGTGTCCACTGGCCAGCTTGGAGCTGAGCTCTCTTTGACTGACAGTAAAGCGAGGCCAGCAGCAACAGCACCCGTTTAATCAATAAGATGTGTGGAGCGTGTGTGGCTTTAAATGCATAGGAACCTTTTATAGCAGGCCTCATTGATTAATGTTGCTCGATAGTATCCCATTAACATTGTTATATTGGGGGTCAGGAAGTTCATGGGTTGATATTTATCATGCACATGGGGGATGCTTTAGAAACAGAGGTAGTAAACAAAAACCTTAATTAGTGCCATGCTGTTCCTGTAGTAACGTATACATGCAGCAGCAGTGAATGGATCACAGTGAACCCGCCCTGTGCCAGTGCTTGTTATAAAAAAAACATACAAAAACTAAAGCAGCATTTGGGTGTGAGTCATATGACAAGCTTTTCCTTTCATTATACCTTATCTGTTAATGAGGTATAACTTTGACCACAGGCGTCAACACTTGGATCGTGAACTAAAAGCAAACTCTGTTATCCTGATTCTTTTTTGGTCTTGTTACAGCTTTGAGGGCGCGCTCAGATCGAGCGGGTTCGAGATAAAGCTAGAGAAGCGCAGGAGGGATGGGAAGGACGCTGAAGCTGGAGGAAAAGAGGGAGACAAGGAGGAGGTTCATGGATGTAGTGAAGGAGGACATGCAGAGGGTTGGTGTGACAGAGGATGGTAGGGATAGAGGGAGATGGATGGAGATGAGCCACTGTGGCGATGCCTAAAACTAGCAGCGGAAAGAAGATGGTAAAAGCTTTTTATAGATTAGAATGCTTTAACCAGGCGGTTACCACCACACCTTCCTGTAGCTAATCAGCATAAGCAACACGAGCAGCACTGATAAGTCTACGATTACAAATGCAGGTTGCAGAAGCTTTTAGTCAGTGTTTTTTGACGAGCTGCTGTTACCATATTCCTCCTCCTGATGTTTTCAGAGTATCGGTCTGCGCTTTGTAGTGATTTATTTCTAAAATACAAGTTATCCACTTTGGAAATGTTAAAAAAAGACAAAAAACCCAACAACAAAACAAAGCAAACAAACAAAAATAAAAACCCAAACCCATTGTGTATTGTTAAAAATTCCTTCCGCACAGTCTCAGTCTGTGCGACACAAAGTTTAGTAACCCAGAGCCTCGCTGACCAATAAAGTCCGAGGCGGATGCCAGCTTGGTGGGTTTCTTGCAGCTTTCTTGCGTGTCCCGGAACGGCGAACCTTAAATGCGTCACCGATAATTTCAGGCAGCCATGCATGTACGTCTGTGCGCACTCCTGTCTAACCGAGACCACATGTGAAACTAGCTCCGGGCGGATGCTGGTGTTGCCCCCCAAGTGTGGGCCTAGAGAGATGGGTGGGGTGAGGAGGGTTGGGCAGGAGGGGGATTGCAGATGCTTGAAATGGATGAAGATCGAGGAAGTGGA